TACAATTATCGATATTGATAAAGAGTGATATAATTATTTATCAACATGAAGAAGATAATACTAACCCGAAGCTAGAGGCCGAGGCAAATATTAACTTCCGTGGTTTGATAAGTCATTGTGTTGACACAATCATGGTGTTAATAATTACTTCGTTTTATAGTATATTACGTTTGTTATAATGCTTTACTGATGTAAACATGGAAATTCCCAAAAATGACGCATTCTGACTTTATAAAACACACTATGTCATTGCCGGAATCGTAAGACATGTTTGTCCTGTTGAGCTGTAACCCTGGGGATGGATTATATCTGTCACAGTTCTCCATTTGATGTATCTGTTGTGAAAATAACCAAAATAATTATTATACATATGCCATTTTTTAAGGTTAGTCTAAAACAAATATTTACTTACAAACATTTTCTCGCCAATAGCAGTAAAACAGTGATTAATAGCTATGTGGAAAAACTCATATCACTTCCTTTTTAACGCTATGTATTTATACTTTGTAAATAAGGAAGTGCTAAGCATGAGACCCACACGAGGTGGACATTCCAAACAATACAGATAGCATATGGGGAATAAAATGTCATGAACCTAAAAATAATATGTATGTTGGGAATATCTGAGTTTTCATATTTAAGATAACATTTTGAAATTTGTTAATAGTTAAGATTATTTTTTATCGGAATCTTAGGTGCATTGCTGTGATGGTTTTAATGGCGGCCACGTACAAGGAAGGTATTTGATTTATCTTTAAAAGGTAGGTCTCTCTGCCGATTAGGAGGAGGGAAATTGTCAGTGATGATTGTTGTTACAACATATCAGAGGTCTTAACAAATATTTTGGAGCACAGACCAAATATTTCTTGTAGAGCAAAAGCAATGGAATATGTTTGGTGAGGTGTTGCTTATGAAAATATGGATCCATTTATATCAAGCTTAATTATCTTAAAAATCGACCTTGTTCTATTGTTTATTTACATATTTTTAATGCATAAAATTACATGTTCATAGTCTGAGGGCAATAATTTCTGTTTCCACAGAAATGTAACTGTTGTTTTCGATTTTAACAATAATGCAGGTATCATCGAATTAATTTTCGATTTAGTACATTTTAGCTGGATAAGTTTTAAATAAGCTATAACTTATACTACACTATTATTCGACTCAGCTCTACGAGAAACAATTGGAATAGTAACTACAATATCTCTTATGTGACTATCATAGGATGTATATCATATACGTTTACACTAGAAAAGCTAGGAGTGAACTTACATGCGTTGACTCAATTACTGGTTGTTGACCCCTGTATGTAAGTGCTTGTATTTTCCTCTCTCCATTTGTCTATGTGTTTTTATAAAATAACTCCAGTTAGAAGCGGCGCGTATTGTCACCGGCCTGCCATCTTTNGTCCTGTGAATATCAAATCAGGACTTATTCTTCTGATTTTAATTGTGATTTTATGAATTACATTTACTTATTTTCTTACTTGCGTTAATTGCGTTCTGCTACCAATTATTAAGGTGATATTTATATATATTTATTACATATTTACTAATAAATACGGGTATTTTGTATATGCGATACGAGACAATTGCTCTAACCAATATCGGCCCTCGCCGTATCACACCCCAAAACCCGTGTCAGCCCTCTCCGTACCCTTTTTGGAAATTTTTCGTTTTTCAATATTTCAAAAGAAAAATAGAGCATAAGATAGTACTTTTTATAAGTAAGTATGTAATAAACAGAATAAAACATGCCTTTTTCCATATCACACCCAGTATTGGGTTGATACTTGGTGTAACATGGAAAAGGGCATGTAATATTCTCTATCTATCTAATATAAACGTAAGACACACACATGTTTTTGCACAAAATTTGTAACTGATATAGTATGCCATAAATGAATGAATCGCATTGCATAGTAGAGTTGTTTCTAGATCTCATCGGCGTTGGTTCTAGATCTCATCGGCGTTGGTAAGGGCAAAAAAAGCAGAAATCAAAATTGGTCTAAACTACTGGTAAAAAAAAAATATTTCCTTCCCTTATGATTTAGTTATTACAACTGCTACAAACTTCTATCCTCTTGAAATTTTACTTTCTTACTTCACTTTTCCGTTCTTGATAGTCATATCCCTGCGTCTCCAACCGACTTTGTTTAAATATCACAGCAGGTTCGGTATTCTAGTTTTTGTTCCGTTCCGTAGATCATGATTTCAGCGATAGATGTCGATCGCTGACGGACAAACTTATAACAAATGGTATCCAGATGCCAGGTTGATGAAGACTATGGGAAATATTTAAGTTTTCAATGACAATTCTGTTAATAAGAACTGATATGTGTTCCTTGTGTAATATGAAGGTTGCTCGTTTGTGTACCTTGTGTTGTTGTCACTACCCTGGTTCTCACTAGGAGGACGTGACATTCTATTTTGATAGATATAAATAGATATAATTTACTTTTGACATGGCGAGTGTCGTCGATGAAGCAAAATTCGCTTAACCTATTGAAACACCTGGGCCAGTATTCATGAAACCGTTCTCATGCTCAAGCATGGATTTTGTGCTCAAGCCGAATTTCTCGTTCAGGTTATAAATCAATAAAATAAATTCTTGTTTTACCAACGATTTAAAAAACATTTAAGAGACTTAAGCCGAATACTGTTTTCAATGTTACAACTGACGTTTTGATCGTTTGACATGATTTAAGTGAGTTACAAAAAAGCTCGTTTGAGCACAAAATCCATGCTTGAGCATGAGAACGGGTTCGGGTCTTTTTTCCTGGTACCTTTTCAAGGGTTTTCATGTAAGTCTTTGCTTTGTTTGTATTTTCTTCCATGTTTTATCAAATTTGAGTTCGAATTACGGTTCACTTTGTAAAAACTGCTTAATGAGCAGGTATTGATTGTTACGTCATTTGTTTGTGAGAGTAACGTCATCAATTTTTGAGAGAACGATGTAATTTTCTCACACAAACCAATGACGTAACAATCAATACCTGCTCACAAGAGAAGATAACTCTGCAATACGAAAAGACGGAAAACTCTGTTTACATTTCTATAAGAGATGCTATAGGTCAGACTGGAAAAATCAATGTAGTAGAGCCTATGAACATATCAATCTAAATAATTAGATCTTTAATAAACCATGATTGATGGTAATAGACATAAAGATATGGCATAAAAGATAAAATCTTCATAATTAAATATTTATTTCAAACAGTGAAATACACAAATATGAATATATGTTCGTACCCATTGTAACACTTTATTTCGTTTAAATTGTAGAAATACTAAATTGCTACCACTTAAACATGTTCTTCCCTGTTAGTAACAATTCATACAAAATTACTAACTTCATGTTCATCTCTTTGTAATAGAATATTTGTTCAAAATGGTAAATATATAATCACAAATATGTTCCATTTGCCAAAAAAGTTAATAAAAACGTGAAAAAATCATTGTGGATGACAAAACTTTAATAGATATACTTCAACATGTGAAATACATTATCACAAATATGATTTTAATAAACTATTCATTATGAATGATAAACTTTGAAACATAAAACATGCTTGGCTATTTTTGTATTGTGTCACTTAAAAGTTTGGTACGGAAACATTTTCGAAGTAGGTGATAAGTTTAAAAAAACACTGTTGTACAATCTATGAATATTGTGATATGCAATAAAATTGATTTAAACTAATAATGATGTACATCATATGTAGTGCACTTCCTTTTTGATGTTCTATTGGTGTAGGCAATAAAATGTATTTAAAACCAATAATGATAAAAACATATTCACTTACTTTGCAGCTCTATTGTGTTGCAAAACCATTTAATTTAGATTAAAACTTACTGGATCCTTTGCATCACACGTTACCATGGAAACAGTTTTGTTTTGTTTTATAATACAATGTTTCAAAGAGTTCATACAAATTTAACGAACTGATTACATCATGTGAGTATTTGTTAACAATATTATTGGTGCGCAAACAAACGCACGTGCATCCGGAAAAAAAACATTTAATGTCTGGAAATACAATATATTGAATGCGATGTGTCAAACAGTAAAAAGTTTATTAAATTTGATATCGAATCAATTGTGTTTTATTTCGTCATAAATCAAAGTGGACATTTCCTAGAATAACCACTATTGTAAACGTCTAACTGAGCCTTTATAAAGACAATCCATAAATACAACACTGATAAAATCGTGTCCAGTTCTGTTGAGGACCTCCGTCTACACCATCGACTGTGAACAATGGAGTTTCTAAGATGTTGCAAACCACTCTTCACGCCACCAATATAGCGTACCTAGGAAGGCCGTCAAAGCAGTTACCACGTACGGAGCGGTGAACAAAGGCAACCGTCATTCAGTTTTCTCCATCTGATACAGTATCTGATGCCACTGTCAGGTAAATTTACCTTAAAGATTTAGTATATTATCATTTTAATTTAAATGTAAACGTTCTGTAGAATTTACTGACCTACAAAACAATAAATATGCACTAATTAGGTCAGCCTAAATATTTCTTGCACGTTTGCATTCTTAAAATGCTCTACAAATGTTTAAATGCAGGACCATATTTAAAATTAGACCTGACTTAAGTATGCCATCTTGAAAAGTAAAAGGCCTTTTTATTGAGAGTATAACCTAACCGGGATATTTTCAAAGATTCATGTCATTAACTTTGTCAATATAATCCAATATACATCCTCAAATTTTCACAAATCAGAGGCAGCTATCGTATTAATTGTTTTCGTGCATAACAGTTAGGATACATTTTATTGTCACGACATCTACAAATCTACTGGGAAACACACAAACATGACCGGATGTAGAGTTGCCGTCCTTTACATAACATTTACAATTAATAAGTTGGTTTGTGTTTTACGTCCTATTAACAACTATGGTAATTCAAGGACGTGCCAGGTTTTGTCGGTGGACGAAAGCCGGAGTTCCCGGAAAAAAAACCCACCGACCTACAGCCAGTACCTGGCGACTGCCCCACGTAGGCCTCGAACCCGCAACCCAGTGGTGGAGGGCTAGTGGTAGCAGAATGTCAGACGCCTTAACCACTTGCCACCGCGGCCCCCTGAATTAATAAACGTTCAATTTAAGTGTTAAATCACTTAATCTGATTAATATAGTAAAATCCTTTGAAATATAAATAATAAAACAATCTTGATTTATATTAGTCCGAATTATTCTGACGTTTTATCGACTTTTTTTTATATCGGTCTGTCGTCGATTAATCGATATAAAAAAAGTCGATGACACGTCAGAATAATTCGGACTAGATTTATATAAGCTAACATCCATGACAGTAATCCAAAAACACAGGAATTGGTCAAATATACACCGACAGTCATATCTGGTCGTTATATTGCTTCATGGGGCGATTCATGACAATCATGACGAGACATCTTGTATTGCATAAACATAAGAAACAAGCTCATATCGAATTGCATTGTGTATACAACTACACATGGTATACAAAGATACCGTAATTATAGAAGATATAACACAAATGCATATACTTTTTCAATGAATCAGCTTGGTTCTTATAAATAACATTGCTCAATTTCGGCGATAGATTTGTTCCAACGTCATCCATTTTGGGTGTGACTGACGTCAACAACATGTCCTCTCCTTTGATCCTTCCTTCTTGGCCAGTTTCACGTTGCCACGTCCCTGCCGATCGGTAACTTCCGGTGCCTGCTGTCTCGCTATAACATTCCCTGTAACAGAGCAGCGGAGCATACGTCAATGTCAAACGTTAGATCACGATGTTACACATTAGTTATGGACCCTCGTACCACTGCTAAAAATTATAGATATAAATAGGAAACATTCGTATATGTATGGCAATAGTTTTAATAGATCATTTCTGAAAGGAAACCCATACCGTAAGAAACTTTTATGAAAGTAAAATAAAAATAAAATAGAAATTTTAAAGCTCAACAACAGTGTTCGAAGTTTGAATTTGCAACGAAGTTAGACCAGGATTCGAATCCTGGTCAATCACAATACAGTCGCTTTAATCAACCGATCTACCTGGTCATCGGTACCTCCAAGACCTATCCAGGCAAACACAGGGCAATAGGACAAGGATTTTTAACTTTAGTACCAACTGCAGTTAAGATCCCTGTCCCATTACCCTGTGCTTTTCGTATAAACAGTGGCCTCCCCTTCTTTCATTTTGGATACAACTGTAGCACAGTTGGGTAACGACAATACCATTGATAATGTAGCTCAGTCAGTAAGAACAATGGTATAGCAAGCTGAAGTCAAGGGTTCGGTTACTGACAACATGTCGACCGTTTAAACAAGATTCAGTTGCAAAAGCATCCAATCGCAAACGACTTTAAATAATGAAAGGAATTAGAATAATTTTATTCCAGTACTGACTTACCTATTTGAGCAAAAATGTCATCCACGTGCATTCCTGTTTTTGCGGACGTTTCAGCAAATATAAGTTTATTCTCATTGGCAAATTTGCGGGCATCCTGTTAACAAAAAAACATCAAAAAGTAAATCCTCGCTATACTGACAACACTGGTCCAGAAAAAAAGGCCGATAATTAAATTAGCGGTGCGCGAGGTTGCAAATGAAACTAGGGGCATTAAAATGAGGCTTTACTGAATAGAACACAGCAGATATGTCAACCAAATTTAAGCTTAAATAATTTGAATAAAAGTATGGCAGCTGTTCGTTAAAAGCTTGTAGTCTATTGAAGTTAAATTGTATACCCTTTACTGAATGATATTGGTCTTGTGGTAATAAATATTCTATAATTTAACTTCTACACTTGGTCTAATAACTGTACCTAGTATAAATGTCGCCCCTCCACTACTAGTACCTAGTACAAATGTCGCCCTTGCACTACAAGTACCTAGTATAAATGTCGCCCTTGCACTACTAGTACCTAGTATAAATGTCGCCCTTGCACTACTAGTACCTAGTATAAATGTCGCCCTTGCACTACTAGTACCTAGTATAAATGTCGCCCTTGCACTACTAGTACCTAGTATAAATGTCGCCCTTGCACTACTAGTACCTAGTATAAATGTCGCCCTTGCACTACTAGTACCTAGTATAAATGTCGCCCTTGCACTACTAGTACCTAGTATAAATGTCGCCCTTGCACTACTAGTACCTAGTATAAATGTCGCCCTTGCACTACTAGTACCTAGTATAAATGTCGCCCTTGCACTACTAGTACCTAGTATAAATGTCGCCCTTGCACTACTAGTACCTAGTATAAATGTCGCCCTTGCACTACTAGTACCTAGTATAAATGTCGCCCTTGCACTACTAGTACCTAGTATAAATGTCGCCCTTGCACTACTAGTACCTAGTATAAATGTCGCCCTTGCACTACTAGTACCTAGTATAAATGTCGCCCTTGCACTACTAGTACCTAGTATAAATGTCGCCCTTGCACTACTAGTACCTAGTATAAATGTCGCCCTTGCACTACTAGTACCTAGTATAAATGTCGCCCTTGCACTACTAGTACCTAGTATAAATGTCGCCCTTGCACTACTAGTACCTAGTATAAATGTCGCCCTTGCACTACTAGTACCTAGTATAAATGTCGCCCTTGCACTACTAGTACCTAGTATAAATGTCGCCCTTGCACTACTAGTACCTAGTATAAATGTCGCCCTTGCACTACTAGTACCTAGTATAAATGTCGCCCTTGCACTACTAGTACCTAGTATAAATGTCGCCCTTGCACTACTAGTACCTAGTATAAATGTCCCCCTTGCACTACTAGTGCCTAGTATAAATGTCGCCCTTGCACTAGTAGTACCTAGTATAAATGTCGCCCTTGCATTACTAGTACCTAGTATAAATGTCGTCCTTGCACTACTAGTACCTAGTATAAATGTCCCCCTTGCACTACTAGTACCTAGTATAAATGTCGCCCTTGCACTACTAGTGCCTAGTATAAATGTCCCCCTTGCACTCACAGTACCTAGTATAAATGTCGCCCTTGCACTACTAGTACCTAGTATAAGTGTCACCCTTGCACTACTAGTACCTAGTATAAGTGTCTCCCTTGCACTACTAGTACCTAGTATAAGTGTCTCCCTTGCACTACTAGTACCTAGTATAAGTGTCACCCTTGCACTACTAGTACCTAGTATAAGTGTTGCCCTTGCACTCCTAGTACCTAGTATAAATGTCGCCGTTGCACTACTAGTACCTAGTATAAGTGTCACCCTTGCACTACTAGTACCTAGTATAAGTGTCTCCCTTGCACTACTAGTACCTAGTATAAGTGTCTCCCTTGCACTACTAGTACCTAGTATAAGTGTTGCCCCTGCACTACTAGTACCTAGTATAAATGTCGCCGTTGCACTACTAGTACCTAGTATAAGTGTCACCCTTGCACTACTAGTACCTAGTATAAGTGTTGCCCTTGCACTCCTAGTACCTAGTATAAATGTCGCCGTTGCACTACTAGTACCTAGTATAAGTGTCACCCTTGCACTACTAGTACCTAGTATAAGTGTTGCCCTTGCACTACTAGTACCTAGTATAAATGTCGCCATTGCACTTCTAGTACCTAGTATAAATGTCGCCATTGCACTTCTAGTACCTAGTATAAATGTCGCCCTTGCACTACAAGTACCTAGTATAAATGTCGCCATTGCACTTCTAGTACCTAGTATAAATGTCGCCATTGCACTACTAGTACCTAGTATAAGTGTTGCCCTTGCACTACTAGTACCTAGTATAAATGTCGCCGTTGCACTACTAGTACCTAGTATAAATGTCGCCCTTGCACTACTAGTACCTAGTATAAATGTCGCCCTTGCACTACTAGTACCTAGTATAAATGTCGCCCTTGCACTACTAGTACCTAGTATAAATGTCGCCCTTGCACTACTAGTACCTAGTATAAATGTCGCCCTTGCACTACTAGTACCTAGTATAAATGTCGCCCTTGCACTACTAGTACCTAGTATAAATGTCGCCCTTGCACTACTAGTACCTAGTATAAATGTCGCCCTTGCACTACTAGTACCTAGTATAAATGTCGCCCTTGCACTACTAGTACCTAGTATAAATGTCGCCCTTGCACTACTAGTACCTAGTATAAATGTCGCCCTTGCACTACTAGTACCTAGTATAAATGTCGCCCTTGCACTACTAGTACCTAGTATAAATGTCGCCCTTGCACTACTAGTACCTAGTATAAATGTCGCCCTTGCACTACTAGTACCTAGTATAAATGTCGCCCTTGCACTACTAGTACCTAGTATAAATGTCGCCCTTGCACTACTAGTACCTAGTATAAATGTCGCCCTTGCACTACTAGTACCTAGTATAAATGTCGCCCTTGCACTACTAGTACCTAGTATAAATGTCGCCCTTGCACTACTAGTACCTAGTATAAATGTCGCCCTTGCACTACTAGTACCTAGTATAAATGTCGCCCTTGCACTACTAGTACCTAGTATAAATGTCGCCCTTGCACTACTAGTACCTAGTATAAATGTCGCCCTTGCACTACTAGTACCTAGTATAAATGTCGCCCTTGCACTACTAGTACCTAGTATAAATGTCGCCCTTGCACTACTAGTACCTAGTATAAATGTCGCCCTTGCACTACTAGTACCTAGTATAAATGTCGCCCTTGCACTACTAATACCTATTATAAATGTCGCCCTTGCACTACTGGTACCTAGTATAAATGTCGCCCTTGCACTACTGGTACCTAGTATAAATGTCGCCCTTGCACTACTTGTACCTAGTATAAATGTTGCCCTTGCACTACTAGTACCTAGTATAAATGTCGCCCTTGCACTACTAGTACCTAGTATAAATGTCGCCCTTGCACTACTAGTACCTAGTATAAATGTCGCCCTGGCACTACTGGTACCTAGTATAAATGTTGCCCTTGCACTAAGTATATTTCACAGGTCTTGATAAAAAGAGAGACAGAGACTGGAACGTAAACAAACTATTGACTCTAACCTTCATGAATAATAATAATCATAGAATTTTATAACGTCAATCGCATACCTCATTGGTTGATCTCGTGTCACTGACCATGTCGGCTTTATTTCCCGCCAAAACAATCACCATCATGGCGTTGGCTTGCTGTAGGAGCTCCTTAACCCAGCGCGTGGCTTTGTGGTACGAGTTCTGAAGGACAACAAGAATTTTATGTCATTGTTATTATTAATCCGACCTATGTGATTGACATTTCACATTCGCAGCTTGGACACATTTTCAAAACGTTTTAAAACGTTGGTTAACAAGAACAGAGTAATATTTTTTGACATTCTAATGTAAACGAGGTCGAGTACAATGTGGTTAACGTTGATGTTGACATGCGCATTAGGTTTTAGCCACCAATGTGCAGAACTAGTCCCAATTAACCACGTACATAACATGTGAAGATAGCGGAAGTAAAGATATTTCAGAAAAGCACACAGCTAAGGTGTGTCGGGTCAAAAGATAAAATGTCAACACCAAAACACCTTTTCCAAAGCTGCATGTTATAAAGTAAACATACTTTTGCATGGCTGAGTATACACTTATTGGCTAGGCACAAAATACGTTGTATCGGCCTTGCTTTTATGGGTGATTAGGAACTAAAAATAAATTATAGATAGGTGCAAGAACTTTAAAGATAAAAATCATGAAGTGGCATTATAATATTGAATCACAGAGGCTTGTAACAAATATACAAAAATATATACGAACTCGTAATGTTATTTTTATATATTTGTTACAAGCCCCTGTGTCAATAGTTGGTTTGGTTTGGTTTGGTTTTACTTTTGTTTAACGTCCTATCAACAGCTATGGTCATTTAAGGACGGCCNTATCCACTGTGTGCAAGATACAAGCGTGTAGTGTATGCGTGTGTGTTTTGGGAGGCTGCGATATGTTCGTGTTTGTCTCCTTGTGATAGCGCGGAACTGATGCAGACTTTATAGTGCTACCTCACTGAAACATACTGCCGCAGACACCCAGCAGGACACCCCACCCGTCCACATTATACCGACAACGGGCGAACCAGTCGTCCCACTCCTAAATTGCGGAGCGTTAAGCAGGAGTAGAAACTACCATTTTTACAGACTCTGTTATATCTCGGCCAAGGGACAGAACCAAAAGCCTTCATCACAGGGGCAAACGCTCAACTAAAGGCGGTATGAGTTACATGCAGGGAGTTATATGTCAATAGGTACAGACAGTGACAATATAGTATACATAATTAAGTATGTCAGAAAAACATCCAAAGATGGTTAAATATAAAAAAAAAATGACAAGAGTTTCTTAGTACCTCCCAAGCGCTATCACCTCTCTAGAGTTTTTTATAATTAAGTATGTACATATTTTATAACCGCCACGTGCCTCCTTACATCATTCTATTAATGACAGAAATAGTATTTGTATGTTCTATAAAGCAGCACAAACAAGAGGTTACCATCATATAAGAATATCTTAATCTGATCAATTCTTTGTTTCCAGTGCATTCATCTATTTCCCCTTACCTCTCACGCTTCTTTCATAGAGCTAGTGTAAAAACAACCTAGACGATGAAGTTAACAAATTTCTATGTTTGTTTTTGTTTTTTGCTTTCCTTTTCCCCCCAAGATGTTTTGTAAAATATTAGTGTATTTAGAATGCATAGTTAATACAAAGTTCGAACCAAATCAAATTTAGTCAGTTATCCATTCAATCGATTTCACACGGAAAATCTGATAAACAATTGATGCATAAAATATATCAGAAAGGACATATTTTGGACACAAAAGTCAGAGTACAAGAGCCTGTGGTCTAACGTACAGCGTTACAAAACACTTACTACGTTTGTGACGTCATACACGACGACAGCAGCGGGGGCACCCCTGTAGTACATGGGAGCGAGGCTGTGATACCTCTCCTGGCCAGCAGTGTCCCAGATATCAAATTTTATTGGACATCCCTGACAGTTGATTGTCTTTGTCAGGTACGCAGCTTTGAAACCAACACAATGTCGAATATGTATTTATATATCTACTAGTTCTGTAATATTGAATTATAAATAAACAGAACATGACGCCATGACGTTTCTTAATGATTCATTGATTTGTATTTTCTCTTATTCATTCAAATCAATCCTGAAATCATTCAATTTTATTTTATTCTTTCATTGATTTTATTTCTTCATTGTTCCTTCTGTTTGAAAGTTTGAAATAATTTGTTATTTCCTCTTTACTTCGTTAAGGGAGGCCAGAGTTGTAATAGATTCATTTATTCCCCTCAATCGTTCATTAATTTATCGGTTCATTCATTCATATATTCCTCTCGTCACTTTTTATTCAATTTTACGTTCATTTACCTATGAATTTGAAGTTGATTCAATGTATATAACAATAATGTTTGAAGTTTAATTTTCTTTTTGCTGTACTGACCCCCAATTGTTGTCTCGCCGTTCTCGTTGAACTCTCCTCGTACAAATCTCAGAGCTATGCTGGACTTGCCCACACCCGAATCCCCCAGCAACACCAACTTGATCTGCTTGGCTTTACTTCCGCCCCCACCAACGCTGCTACCACCACTTCCGGGTCTGCTGTTTGGCGGAGATGACGAGTTCCAGTCGTTCATATCTACAACTATAAAATATTTTCAACAAATCGGAGGCACGCAGTTACATTTTTGATTGGTTTTAAGTGAGAACAAACTGACCAATCGCTTGGCTAATATCTGTCCTTCGAATGTTACAGAGGAGCGACATCCGATTGCAAAGCCGGTTAACTAAACCGTTACGCTACCGCGCGATTATTTTGATGTACATCAAAGGATTTGTCTACTTGAATAATACACAAGTTGGCGCGTGCAGAGTCCTCCATTTCGTCAAGATATGTTCCAGGGGTACAGGACACGTAAGTGAGTGAAAATTCCGAGGATGTTTTAATAATGGAATAACGCGCACATTCTATCGAAAGTGTTGCTGGGTTGTAAAATATCCTATGAAATTATAAGTTGCCTTTGTTGTACTACATCTGAGATATATATTGACATACTTTGAAAAGTTAACGTTGTCCTCTGTAAAATAAACTGTGTCCTCTGTAAAGTAAACCCCAAGTTGAATCACTGATTAGCTCGGAACTCTTAAGGAAGCCAAGGATGTGTGCTATTTATACTTGTTGAAAGCGGACATTATGGTGCGGTGCGTTTTAAAGAAATCTTCAAGGATGTGACCATTGTGTGCTGCGGTCTGCTGCGTCATCAAGCTGCTACGGTGTTGAAACATGCAGGTTGATTTCAAAGCTAATTTTAAATTATAAAATTTTAAATTGTTTGACAGAAGTTTCAATATGAAAATAAAAACTATAGATTATTTATAGTAATATTATAGCGTATGTTTATACTATATACAGGTTACTGAGACATGTAAGGGTACATTCAATGCAAAAATAATCTACAAGATTTGTATATTGTACATTTCATCTTGTTCATGTTTCCTTTGAATCATCTAAATTTACAGTCATCAACATTTTCTACTGTGCAGCCATATGCATATTTCATCATTTCTGCTTTAAGGGAGAAGGCGAACTTTAAGCTTTATAACTTGTGTCTAATCCCTTTTGTATTTTTTGCAAATAACTTATGTTTAAATCAAAATCACTGATTAGTATGACGTAGAAATAATCTAACAGTCCTCCAGAGTTATAGCCCTAGTTCTGCTCTGAATGTATAAAAGTCATCGAGCTTAAGCTATAGGACGCTGTATACCCGGAAACTTTCGCCCAGTTCAAATGTCACCAATCACCGATAAAACCCATTTTCACCAAGTCTTAATTTCGATTTTCTTATTTAACTAATATGTTTATTAAATTGTTAACTAATGTTTACTGTAATTATAAATTCGACTTCATTATGGAGGGCGAAATAGAATAAAGTTAATCGGCAGTGCATGTTGGCTGGTGCACAGTATTAAAAACAGTTTAAGAACGGTAGGGACAAATCAATTCCAACAGCTGTGCAATGCAACATCCATGTACACAATATTGACTACCGCCATCCAGTTGAGGATTATGTCAAGGTGAGAATGAGAGGGCGCTAATGATAGAAAGGAGATATAAAAAGAAAGGAAAAAGTGAGAACGAATTTCTGATTTGAAGGCTGTAGTTGAGGGAATGGATGGCAAATGGTTCCAGTCAGAAAGAGCGTTTGAAAAGAAGGACATGATAATAAAACATCCTGATTCAACGTTTTGGACCTCTTAAATTATATATTTATATGTGTATTTCCTTTGAAGTCGTATTAGAACATATCACACATACCGTGGGGTTCTTACCTAAAATTATAATCATCAAACAAATTAAATAATGGATAATTTCTTTACAGCAAATATCTTTTTTTATAGTAAAGCTTTAAATAACGCCACGGTATCATTTTATAGATTGTGTCGTAAAAAGTTAATGAATAGCCATACCTGCGCTGTCGACATCAAAGCCGATGAGGCATGGCGAGTAAGTACCGAATTGTTGAATCATAGCTATAATCTTCACATACATGTAAATATAGGAGTCTGTGATCTCAGACTGCATCAAGTAACATACTGGACTTTTATATATACGATCGGAAGTTCTAAAATTAGACATGATTCTAATACCCGTTCAACCCCGAGCCAGTCCACGTATCTAAACTTTGATGGTAAAAAAAGTACCTGACCAATCGCTAGCCTGTTAACTGTCCTTTGAAGATTACAGAGGAGTGACATCCGGCTTCAAAGCGAGTCAATTTTACCGTTATACTGCTCTGCGATTATTTTGATGTGTACCAACGTATCGGACCAGACTTCTTGTATCATCCACAAGGTGGTGCATACTGAACTTTCGATTTTGTTACGACATACCCCAGGGGAGCAGAGAACGTAAGTGGGCATAACCCCTGGAGTATCGAGGGTGGTCTTTGGCAGGGAACACGGTTTCTGCTAGGACCTTTACACGGAACATGGAACCGTGTATCCTGTCAAGTACCTGTTGTACTGGTACACAGAAAAAGGTATACGAGTGGAGCAAAACAGAAGGAGAGAAGAGAGATCATGGAGATAAAGAGAAAATAATGGAATGAGAGAGGGAGAAATAAGAAATGAGTTTAAATAAAAAGTAGATACAGAAATGAGATGACAGCAAAGAAACGCATGCAAAAGGGAGAGAAAAGAGCGGACGGGGAGAGAAATACGAGCAATGAGAAGAATGGGAAGGAAAAGAAACAGACAGGATAAAAAAAGAAGAATGGAGAGAACATAATTTGGTGAGAAAAATGGTTTTGATTGTTTGTGTTTTACATCCTATTAACAGCTATACTCATTTAAGGACGTGCCAGGTTTTGGTGGTGGAGGAAAACCGGAGTTCCCGGAGAAATTGACAGGAAGAGAAGAGTAATTAAAGACAAATATAGGGAGAAATACAATCAGAAATCATGAAAAAATAAGAATGGAAGAAAAATAACGAACAGCAAGAACGAGATTTCAAAAAGTGAGAACAAAATGGTCGAGAAAAGATACATTATGTATGAGGGTGAAACTAAACGAAATGAAACTCCATACAAGAGTCAAAGTAACGATGAGAAAAAATGTGACAGGATATTTACAAAAAAGATAAAGATGAAGAGGTCGAAAAACAGAAATAACAAGAGGAAAAAGAAAGTAATATGTAATGGACGGAAACGGGAAGTAGAAAGAGAGGGATAGAGAAAAAGAATATGATCTTATGAAAAAAATCAGAGAGAGAGAGAGAGAGAGAGTATGTGTGAGATAGTTTGGAGTTAATCTTCGACAAAGAATGCAACCTTTGTTTTTGGTCGATTAGTTGGGTTTGTGACTAGTCGGCTGTAGGCCGAGATAGACGATATTATATCCAAGTCAGATTATAGACAATATCTATACAGGACGTTCATAAAAAACTAGTACATATACAGCGGGAAATCATGTCTTGTAAACAACTTGTACTAGTAGCTTGCGAATTAGGTTAGGAATAATCCAGCCTAATTATTATTGTACTTCGACAAAACCGTATCAAGGCAGCCATTTTGTATCTACGGTTGGGGTGAATAACATTTACTTTACGCCAGTGGTCAATAATAGTGTTCGTTTATTGTAAAAAAATCACAGACTTCTGTGTCTATGTTTAATTAGAGGGTTAAAGGAGAACAGTTTAAACTATTTAAAGTATTGAAATCCAATTCAAGAATTTTTATTCTAAAAAAAAAAAAAAAAATTCAATTCGTTGTGTTTAAATAAAGTCTATTGCAGTCGACAAGAATGTTTTCTACATAATAACGACAACAACATATTTAAGTTATCTTCACGGGGACAATACCCTATTGTTACACTCAGGACTGTTATCATCCTCACACGGACCGATCACAGGGACCTGAGAATTTGTTACGGCTGTATTTGGGCCTAAACTGAGATAGTCAAAGTAATTTTACACTTTTTGGGGGTTTAGATCAACTTTCGCTAAAATGCCACCCCAATGATGATTTGACCGAAAATTGATCTAATCCCCTAAAACGTGTAAAATTACTCTGACCACCTCAGTTTAGGCCCAAATACAGCTGTAACAAACTATCAGGTCCCTGTGGGACCGATAACAACATACTGAAATGGTTAATGCTCCGTACACGACAAGTGGTTTAATCTTGCACAGGTCCCAATAAACAAACTCTAGATTTACACAGGCAATTTAATCAATCAACAAATCAGACTTACACAAAATCCCCATATACAAAATTTACAATTATACACGAAAGACATTTATACAGACCCCATCAAAAATCGCATGAATAACAGATGGCCCCGATCAATTATATCTTGACTTACAAGAAAAAACCAAAAGTCAGAAGTTCCATCGGTGATCTCTAAACTTACAAAGCCACCAAATAAACTATCTCAAGACTGATATTGGTGTTTAATAAATTATGTGTAGACTTACACAAGTCCCTGCAAATATTGCTCGACTCAAAGAAGTCCCCAGCAATAGTTAAAGGGACATCACGGTGAGGCATAAACATATCAAGTGAGTATCCTTATAGAAAATAACGGTCGGATTTGGCTGATATATATCGAAAAAAAAAGAATAATTTTAAGATCTAGACAAATCAGTTATCTATAGACTTACACTCGTCCCTCATCAATCAGCTCTAGACTTGCAAACGTCCCGCCAGACATCAATTAATCCAGACTTGGACATACAAGTCATCATCAATTAATTATAGACCATCACTAAATCTACTTGATTTTAAACTTAACCCCTATAGTATCTATCAATTATATATGTATTATACTGTTAACCCGCATATACACGTCACTACAAAGAGCTATATTTATCATGGACATGTATACGTATCCAATACAAGGAAAGCATTACTTACAAGCGTCAGCTGTAGGGGATTTCCCTTAAGCTCCGCGGTAAAACATCGGGCTGGAGAGCTAAAGGTCGCGGGTTCGAGTCCCCGACGACGGCACTATCTTTATCACTATTCCTCGTCCTACTACACCTATACATAGACCTGAGATTTTTATTGGAGATATGAATTCAAGGTTAACAAAGATGATAACCTCGTCTGTATAGTCTACTGAACACTCCCATTCAGCCACCTAGCAGACTTTCAGATATCCCAGTCTGTGGTTCAGTTTGAATCAATTTTAGTTTCTTCTAGTCTACATTTGCACGGACTTTTGCCAAATGAGATCTTCTTTACAAACTAAAGATATATAAATGATCGGTCATAGTTTAAATGTACAGTTTAATTTATTACGGGTTTAATTAAACGTACAGTTCCGTCAATAGTTAGGGGAATAGTCACCATATACATTGATGTTGTGTTTACATGATTTCTTGACATGTATGCATTATTCTTTTATCAGTTCTAGTCTAATTGCTTCAAATATCTGCAAATCAAAGTAATGAAAAGTTCAACCTTCCTCAAGATGAATAATGTGGAGTAATATTATATATATATTAATCTAGGATACATATATATTACTTACTTGCAAAAGGCCGTTTCCTTCGGTTTCAAAACCAGCTTAAATCCAAATGAATAAAGTAATTCATATCCAAGTCTTGTTTATAATTAAAACGACAAGTTTTGCATAAAGAAATCCATATAAAATATCCGTGATGTCATTTACAACCTGGACTGTGAGCCCCGCTGTGCAGTGTGTTGTGGAAACGCCCCCTCTGTCTCCTGATCGCTGTTCTGCTAATGTCCTCGATATCCTTTAACGATCAACGTTGTAATTGTTCTTTTGAAATAAAACTATTGTCTTTTTCATCATTCAATTGGGAAGTTCATATCATTTACATACAGTGGTAGACAGTAGTTAAAACTTTGATCTTTGGTTCGCTGTCACATTTCCGGTTTCATGGCGGATATAATCGTTATCTTAATCGACTTCTGGGGGTCGTCTCAAAACGTTTACATACAACCTAAAATAGTACTCCGATCAGCACCGCGTGAGAATTAGTGTAGTATTTGTCATAGATCTGTTTTAAACCAGCGACAGGCTCGACAACTCGGCTACCTAGACACCTTCACAGCTGACTAACCGTGTAAACGTGTAAGACTTTATGTATTTCTGAAGTATATATATATTTGTAAATAATACGTCATGTTTCATAAAGTATAAACTTCAAGATAAAGTGAAATCTAACTTCTTGTATACATGTAAGTTACCACTTTATCAAGCTATCTGTCTATTTCTACCATCAGTGGGAGAGAGATTTTTTATCAATAACCTGATTATATCGACAACCTAGCTAGCTATAGCTGTCTATAAAACCGATCTTTTTATTTAGATCGCCTGTCAATAAAGACTTATCTATAATGATTATCTATCTGTACGGATCTCTTGTCTATAAAACCATCTGTCTATGAAAATCACCTGCCTGTATATAAAGACCGTCTGTCTATAACGGTCACCTGTTTATAAGGACGGTTTTCTTTCTGTTGTCTTTCTACATTTTTTTTTAACTTTCAACGCATTATATTATGATTAATAAAATTTTGATTAAATGAGATATACTTGGAAAATAGTTTTAATAGCACAAATTATTTATAAATGACTAAAATTGTCTAATCAAAATAACATTTTATTATTATTTGTAATGAACATTTTTTCGACTTCATTCTAATTAGCATATGTATTCCATAAGCTTAAGTGTTCGTTGATAAGATAACTTTCAAGTGGTTTTTTTTATAACTATTACATGTGTATTAGCTGTACCTACATTACTGTATACAAACATCATACGATCACGCTTTGCTGTTTATCAGTTGTCCACATGCGCACTGACGCGTACCAGGTGGGGCGATGTGCCAACACGCAGTGCTTGACGTTACCTATATACCCGTCATCATATTAGTAAACAAACAAAAATACATAAATGTAACAATTCTGGAAGAGAAATAATAAAGTCGATACGTCATCACAACACTCTTTTCTTGAATGATTAAATGAGTTACAACATGATTGACGACAATCGGGAATCGTTGGCGCTTTCCGTCAACGAGAAAGTGGTTTACTTGTTTAAGGAAAGTGCCCACTAGTATTCTTCGTTGTTTTGTTTTAAACATATTTTATTGCTATTTATATGCAATGGGAGTTGGGCACAAGTTTAACAACTTATAATAAGCCCTTTCCCTACAATATATTAATACACATTTTCAAGGTGGCATATTACATATATATTTACATTGGCTTTAATTAAGAGAGATAGACAGAGAGGTAGTGAAGAGAGACAGAGACAGGGGGGAGAAGGGGAAGGGGAAGAGAGAGAGAGAGTAAACCTTAGAATAACAGTCTAGTTCAAAGTATGATCATTTAACAAAGCTGACTTCCGTAATGTATTAAGTAATAACATATCGGTGTATCCCGGACCATGTGAATTTTCTTCTCCATGCAAACGGAACCAGTGCTATTCTTCGTGGTTACGGAAAGTGCCGATAGATCCCGATTAGTATGACAACACATCTATCGAAAATATGTGGGAAATCACGTGACCTCTAATGAACCTTTACCTCGATGAGCATTGTTCACATTTAAATAAACTGACAAATTCCTTTCTTTCACATAATGAAAGTTCAAACATACCCCATTTCATTGCGGGAAATGATTTAGTTGGAACAGGGCTGGTTTATTATGTTACTCCCGGTAATTTTTTTCACGATTGATGTCGACGGCTGACGGACAAAATTAAACACAAGGTTTCAAATGATGCTGGTTGATGATCTTCATCATGATCTCATTAACAAATATTCTATTTCATTATGCGTCATAAAGATGAGACTTGNGTTCAAATGGTGCTGGTTGATGATCTTCATCATGATCTCATTAACAAAAATTCTATTTCATTATGCGTCATAAAGATGAGACTTGATTTGACCAAGATTTACAGGACGGGTGTCGGAACACAATGGTATATTTTCAACTGTCTCCATTTCTGATGTTGAGAGCTTTGTTTCAGTCCACAGACGTGGACCTGGTGAATCAACCCTTTAATCGCCTCTGTCACTCTTCTGTACTTTGCAAATGGCCAATATCATCGACTGTTCCTCGACTACCTCTGAAATAGCCCGAGTTTTCTCTGGCTCTGACACAAGAATTCGACATTTTGATCTGTGATGTCTGGTGTAGGGCAAGAGCGCACTACTATATGAAAACATGGAATTCTCCGACACCGTTTGGTAACGGGGAGTTTTGAGGTGGTGACAACAAAAATCTTCTTCGACACGTCAGACATCTATCTGTCAAAATGTCTAAGTCCGGTATCAGGGCAAGAGGTAAATCGGGCTACCTCTGAAGCTCCACTGACTTTCGGGCAGAAGAACTTGTTCGAGATGTAAAACTCTAGCCCGGATTTGAACCTGTAATGGACAGCAAGTGAGATACCTCTGGTTGTCGCAGGACATCGGAATCTTGTGTGTGTAGAGGTTGACTATGAATGCGCAACAAGGCAAAACAACAATGAGAAATGTTCAGTGTATCTCTTCGGGATCTTTGTTCGTTAGTTAGTGTGATTAAATATGAGAGTGGATTTACGGACTGTTTCCAGTGAGACGCAGAGATGCATGCCATCGTGCTTCTCAGCATCCACTGTATGTCTGCAACAGCCGGGTAAAGTCATGACGTTTCATACTCGTCATCCTTTTCTGTGGATGTAACCTCCGAGTAAAGACCCTATAGTGACATATACGCTCAACTTCTGTTTCCGTGGACGTAAACTCCCAGTAAAGACGCAACCTCATTTTCCGTGGAAGTAACCTGCTATTAAAACCCTATAATGAGGTTCCACACTCAACATCCTTTTCCATAGATGTAACCTCCCTATAAAGACGCTATAATGTCGTTCCACACTCAACCTCATTTTTCGTAGACGTAGCCTCCCAGTAAAACCCTATAATGACATTCACCACTCAACCTCCTTTTCCGTTGACGTAACCTCCCTGTAAAAACGCTATAATGACGTTCCACACTCAACCTCATTTTCCATGGAAGTAACCTCCAAATAAAAACCCTATACTGACGTTCCACACTCAACCTCATTTTCCATAGATGTAACATCCCTATAAAGACGCTATAATGACGTTCCACACTCAACCTCATTTTCCAAGGAAGAAACCTTCCTGTAAAGACGCTATAATGACGTTCCACACTCAAGCTCATTTTCCGTGGAAGTAACCTGCTATTAAAACCCGATAATGACGTTCCACACTCAACATCCTTTTCCATAGACGTAACCTCCCTGTAAAGACGCTATAACGACGTTCCTCACTCAACCCCCTTTTCCGTTGATGTTACCTCCGAGAAAAGACCCTATAATTATTTTCCACACTCAAAACACTTTTTCGTGGACAATGACCTCCCACTTAATTTCCTATAATGACGTTCTATATTCAACCTCCTTTTCCGTATATGTAACCTCCCTGTAAGTTAAGACCCTATACTGATGTTCCACACTCAACCTCCATTTCCGTGGACGTAACCTTCCTGTAAATACCCCATAATGAAGTTTCACACTGAACATCCTTTTCCACGGACGTAACCTCCAATTTAAGACCCATATAATGAGGTTTCACACTTTCCTTTTCTGTGGAAGTAACCTTCAAGTAAAGACGCTATAATGAGGTACCACACTCAACCTCATTTTCCGTGGAAGTAACCTCCAAATAAAACCCGATAATGACGTTCCACACTCGACCTCATTTTCCATGGAAGAAACCTTCCTGTAAAGACGCTATAATGACGTTCCACAATCAACATCCTTTTCCGGCGACGTTACCTCCGAGTAAAGACCCTATACTGATGTTCCACACTAAACCTCCATTTCCGTGGACGTAACCTTCCTGTAAATACCCCATAATGAAGTTTCACACTGAACATCCTTTTCCACGGACGTTACCTCCAATTTAAGACCCATATAATGAGGTTTCACACTTTCCTTTTCTGTGGAAGTAACCTTCAAGTAAAGACGCTATAATGAGGTACCACACTCAACCTCATTTTCCGTGGACGTTACCGCCCTGTAAAACCCTATAATGACGTTCTACATTCAAACTCATTTTCCGTTGACATAACCTCCCCGTGAAGACGCTATAATGACGTTCCACACTCAAAGTCCTTCGTGGATGTAGCCTCCCTGTAAAGACGCTATAATGACAATCCACAATCAGTCCTTCGTGGACGTAGCCTCCCTGTAAAGACCCTATATTGACGTTCCACACTCAAAAGTCCTTCGTGGACGTAGCCTCCCTGTAAAGACGCTATAATGACGTTCCACACTCAGCCTCATTTTCCATGGAAGAAATCTCCCTGTAAAGACACTATAATGACGTTCCACACTCAACCTTATTTTCCATGGAAGAAATCTCCCTGTAAAGACACTATAATGACGTTCCACACTCAACCTCATTTTCCGTGGAAGTAACCTCCAAATAAAAACCCTATAATGACGTTCCACACTCAACCTCTTTTTCCGTAGACGTAACCTCCCAGGAAAGACCCTATAATGACATTCCACACTCAACCTCCTTTTCCGTAGACGTACCCTCCCAGGATAGATCCTATAAGGATATTTAACACTCAATCTCCATTTCCGTTGACATAACCTCCCCGTAAAGACGCTATAATGACGTTCCACAATCAACATCCTTTTCCGGCGACGTTACCTCCGAGTAAAGACCCTATACTGATGTTCCACACTCAACCTCCATTTCCGTGGACGTAACCTTCCTGTACATACCCAATAATGAGGTTTTACACTGAACATCCTTTTCCACGGACGTAACCTACAATGTAAGACCCCATAATGCGGCTTCACACTTAAAGTCCTTTTCTGTGGAAGTAACCTTCAAGTAAAGACCCTATAATGACGTTCCAAACTCAACCTCCTTTTCCGTAGACGTTACCTCCAAGGAAAGACCCAATAATGATGTTCCACACTTAACCTCATTTGGACAATGACCTCCCACTTAATTTCCTATCATGACGTTCTATATTCAACCTCCTTTTCCGTATATGTAGCCTCCCTGTAAAAGACCGTTAAGACCCTATTCTGATGTTCCACACTAAACCTCCATTTCCGTGGACGTAACCTTCCTGTAAATACCCCATAATGAAGTTTCACACTGAACGTCCTTTTCCACGGACGTAACCTCCAATTTAAGACCCCATAATGAGGTTTCAGACTTTCCTTTTCTGTGGAAGTAACCTTCAAGTAAAGACGCTATAATGAGGCACCACACTCAACCTCATTTTCCGTGGACGTTACCTCCCCGTAAAACCCTATAATGACGTTCTACATTCAACCTCCTTTTCCGTAGACGTAACCTCCCCGTAAAGACGCTATAATGACGTTCCACACTCCAAACCCTTTTCCGTGGACAATAACCTCCAACTTAATTTCCTATAATGACGTTATGTAACCTCCCCGTAAAGAATATATTATGATGTTGCACACTCAACATCTTTTTCCGTGGACATTACCTCCGAGTTAAGACCCTATACTGACGATCCACACTCAACTTCCTTTTCCGTGGACATAACCTCCCCGTAAAGACGCTATAATGACGTTCCACACTCAGTCCTTCGTGGACGTAGCCTCCCTGTAAACACGCTATATTGACGTTCCACACTCAAAGTCCTTCTTGGACGTAGCCTCCCAGTAAAACCCTATATTGACGTTCCACACTCAAAAGTCCTTCGTGGACGTAGACTCCCTGTAAAGACCTTATATTGACGTTCCAAACTCAGTCCTTCGTGGACGTAGCCTTCCTGTAAAGACCCTATATTGACGTTCCACACTTAAAGGCCTTCGTGGACGTAGCCTCCCTGTAAAGATGCTATAATGACGTTCCACACTCAAAGTCCTTCGTGTATGTAGCCTTCCTGTAGAGACCCTCTATTGATGTTCCACACTCAGTCCTTCGTGGACGTAGACTCCCTGTAAAGACCTTATATTGACGTTCCAAACTCAGTCCTTCGTGGACGTAGCCTTCCTGTAAAGACCCTATATTGACGTTCCACACTCAAAGTCCTTCGTGTATGTAGCCTTCCTGTAGAGACCCTCTATTGATGTTCCACACTCAGTCCTTCGTGGACGTAGCCTCCCTGTAAACACGCTATATTGACGTTCCACACTCAAAGTCCTTCTTGGACGTAGCCTCCCAGTAAAACCCTATATTGACGTTCCACACTCAAAAGTCCTTCGTGGACGTAGACTCCCTGTAAAGACCTTATATTGACGTTCCAAACTCAGTCCTTCGTGGACGTAGCCTTCCTGTAAAGACCCTATATTGACGTTCCACACTTAAAGGCCTTCGTGGACGTAGCCTCCCTGTAAAGACCCTATATTGATGTTCCACACTCAAAGTCCTTTGTGGATGTAGCCTCCCTGTAAAGACGCTATAAAGATGTTCCGCACTCAAAGTCCTTCGTGGATGTAGCCTTCCTGTAAAGACCCTATATTGACGTTCCACACTCAGTCCTTCGTTGACGTAGCCTCCCTGTAAAGACCCTATATTGACGTTCTACACTCAAAAGTCCTTCGTGGACGTAGCTTCCCTGTAAAGACCTTATATTGACGTTCCACACTCAGTCCTTCGTGGACGTAGACTCCCTGTAAAGACCTTATATTGACGTTCCAAACTCAGTCCTTCGTGGACGTAGCCTTCCTGTAAAGACCCTATATTGACGTTCCACACTCAGTCCTTCGTGGACGTAGCCTCCCTGTAAAGACGCTATAATGACGTTCCACACTCAAAGTCCTTCGTGGACGTAGCCTCCCTGTAAAGACCTTATAATGATTAACATGCTATTCAAGAACCCTATGAATAAATGAAACGTGCCTAGATGACAGCTCTTTTAGTTAGTAATCTACTCGTAAACACACAGTATGGACACTGCATGCTTAGTTGACGGCTCTCCTTAGTTGTGACCTCCTCACAGATTCTATGTGGGGATTATTTAATGACGTCTTCTAGGTGGTTACCGCCCCTTAAAGATCTTATAATGCTGTAATACTTACAGAGCAACTTGCCCTTGATAGTAGCCTCACCTAAAGATCGCAACAATATGTCATACCCAACCGACAACTGGGCATCAGTTAATGGCATGTGAAGGTCTAGGTCTAGAGATGAGTATCGCAAAAAATGTTCATATTGATTTTTTTTAGCAAATATATGATATATCACAATACATTGTGCTGCCAGTACATTTATAATGACTTTACATAGGAAATACCGAAAGTGAACATCAGTTCAGCAAGTTTCAAAGTATACAGTTTTGGAAAATATGCATACTACATTTTGATAAAAATTGATTCAATCTTAATGTCATTTCTGTAAAACTATTTCATAACTGAGTTAAAACCCTCAAATTATTAATTGAAATTGCATTGCAATATAGTTATTTCAAAATCATATTGTAATATATCTCTATTTCTTAACACAGATTGCAATATATTGGTACCACAGTATGATTGCCCATTCCTAGTTCAGTAACAGGTTATATCCCAGCTACTCCATTCAATAACATTTCTAGTAAAATATTCTATTGGTAAGAACCATTCCTTAGAAGAATCTTCTTGTAAACAATAATTGTAATTTGATAATAGCTGAAAGCTTGGTATTTACTTCATAATGTAGATTGCAACCATTCAAATGTCAAAAGGATTAGATTTTGAACTCAAGAATTGTTTTCATTATCAGATTTTTTTATTTCAGTATTATTTGTATCATAATAATTTCTCTATGGAACATAAATGTCATACACAGCATTATCACAAACATTGGGAGAAAAAAGTGTGACATATCAGCATGGTTTTGTAAAAAAAAAAAGTTTCACAAATAATTAACAACAACGAATGACTTTAAGTGTTTCATCAATGTATCTTTATATTAACTCTTTACAAATTCTACTTGTATTTTTACAAATATCCATGACGAGTTAATGTTTACACTATATATAGAAGCCATAATCAGATAAATGTTCACGTAGTTCTCGTGTATGTACATATGTCAAGAAGAGTATCTCCCTTGTTTTATTGAAAATCACTATTTATCAACGATATTTGTTTGTATACAGTGGAATCTTGCCTCATCCAGACTTGCAGAACAACCAATGTTCATAGCAACAAACTCCTGTATTTTACCAGCAATAAACCTGTTATCTATTATCGAGTCTATCTCCTCATCAAGACAAGAGTTAACATACAATAATATGAATTTATTACCTGTTAACAGAAAGGTAACAAACAATCACAGGATAAAACTCTTCAAAATGCAACTCCCGATAAATTATTTCTATGCACTAAGCCCTTTGGTTCAATTCAGGTAAAATTACTGCCAATATTCAAATATTAGCACTGTATTGTGTAAATATTCAAATATTAGCACTGTATTGTGTATGTCTGGTTGAAAAAAGATTCCACTGTTCACACAAGCTCATTCATGTTCCGTGTTTCAGAAATAACCCATATCTGGTAATAATTTGACATTTGATCTTCTCAAAGAGAAAACCATTGAGGTGAGATGATATGTGAATAATTACAATCTTTCTGGCCTAATGGTGAACTCATGAACAATGGAAGTTACAGGTACCAACAAGTCTATCAAAGAAGCATAGCAGTTGTCTCTCCAAGATTTACATGGAGTCATAAAAACATTGCTTGTTCTCAAAAAATGCACAGTAAATGTACCATAGCAGATTCCTTTTCATCAGAAAACTTCAGGCGTAATCAAAAGCAATCAAAAAATGCAAATCCTGAATAAATACAAAATAATTCAAGTTTAATATCTTCCTTTACCAGGTACACCTGGAATTTATTTTTTACCACGAAATCTTAATTCTTTAAAGTTACAATACAGACTGTTTCACAGGGGAAAAATCTTGAAGAGATAACTAGACATGCATTTAAAATTCTGTAATGCAGTGGACCTAAACTGACAGAGAAAACTGGAGAACAATGGAATACACTGATCTCGGTCTGGACTGGTGAGTTTTATACCATTGACAAACAGCTATTGAGGGGAGGTGACTCCATAAAAAATGAGCTAAGCCTACAGTTACTTGAATGGTTATAAATATATTATGGTACAGTCAATATAGTTAAACCAATTAAATGTGTATTTACTATACATTCCCGAATATACACAATTTACAAATCAATCCATTCACACAAGCACACTGTAAATACACACGGCCATTTATCACTTCCATAAATCACTTAGTCAGCTACTTTTATGAATACAGTTGTTCTCCCGAAAACAATTGGTGCACAGTATTTCGGGACTTGACAAGTCAATATTTTCTGTTGCCAAAAGTGTCCCAGGAAAAGTACATCATTCTATAACTAATTTGTGAACAAATACACGTAAACGGTTCTCACTTTCTAAAAAAAAATGTCGACACTATCAGAAGCACAAACGAGAAAAACAATACAGCATGTGTGAAAAACAAAGTGTGAAAACAATTCTTTGTATCATCCATACATATTCCTCCCCCCACTTCCCCTCCTTGTAAAGTCTACCCATGATCTAGGTGTACATATCAATAAGGTCACTGACGATGACACTTCAATCAGCGCCACAAGTCGCAGTAATAGATACACATACCAACAATCGCAACTTAACAGTGCTACATGCTGTATTCAATTAACACACATACAGATGATCGCTCTGCGATCAGTGCCACATTTTAGTTAATAGACAAACTGACAAACGCACTACAATCAGTGCATGGTAACAGATAAATGATCAGCTGTACTGTATGATTTCCTGTAGAAACAAATAAGTTGAAACACAACAGTATCCCCTATCTAGACAATCTACTGTGGTGGTCAAATGGATGGCCTTTGTTCTAGGTGTGGTCACATCTATATCACACACATTGTGATCTATAACTGCTCGTTACCGGTACAGACACCTGTTGCCCCATCACTGGTCTACACAGATATCCAGCAGACCATTCTTTATTGAGGAATTCAATCTCTGATCTAAACTATGCCTACTTGAAGCTTGCAAATAATACCGAAACAAAACTGAAATTTAAAATGACAAGATTCTCTTACAATATCATTTGCGTATCAGGTATGTAGATTGGTATCTCATCATTGACATCTTGTCCATCCTACCAACTGTATTTTATGAAGATATCTTATTTTATCAAATACCATTGAATTTTATCTTGAAAATTTCTGTTGAATATCTTTCTGTTATCACTTTTGACAATCCATTCCTATGAAGATGACCTGGAATTCTAAGTTACATCTGCAGGTGTTTACTTATACATGTATCAAAGAAAATGCTTTGATAAACTGGTAAATCCCGTCACATACTCCTCAAAGACAGAGATAGTACACTTGTGATTTCTTCACTAGAACAAGAATATGCAACTCTTTCTCGAGATGTAAAATAGATGTTTTTCTGTATAGTTCCAGATGTATACAGTAGAAAAGTTAAACAAGCTACCTGAAGTTGTCACAAAGAACTACCCCAAAACATTGTGTTGTATAAGTGGCTAGGAGCAAAGTCATTGGTTCCCCTGGTACAATAGAAAACGTTTCCAGATCTTTGTTCAGTAACTTATAGGTTGTTTAATCCCAAAAATATCAGGAGACAGAAATATCAACAACAAAGAATTGCCAGCAAAATATCTTCATAAGTAGCATTCTGACATGAAATAAACTATTTTCTACTATGAAACAGGCTTGTTATATTGTTAAAGAAGGAAAGAAAACCTTCACATGTGCATCTAAAAATCTTTGATTCCAAGAAAAATTCATCAAGGACACATCATCCCTCACACCTTCAAAATTAACTACCAAAATCTGTGTCGAGGTTTCCTTGAAATCTCTCGCAAGAATAAACACATCAGTTTATCTTGACAGAAACTGTCGACCCAAAAATTTGGTATTTTGCTCATAATTTGAATAATCAGGTTGACAACTATAGACCTCCACAAGTCAAATGGAAATTTAAGTTCATAATGTGTGACGAATCCTGCTTCTTTAGTAAAAGGTAGAATCTAGACAATCTGTTGCCCTAACAATACAACGCAACAACCTTTTAAAATCCTGAACACGTAGCATGGTACAGACAAGCTACACAGACATCATGTCTTGGTCACATTTAGCTTCATCTGATTTGAAATAATTCTTCAATAAAAAGCCCATCGGGAGTCCGTTATTCCACTGGACCACATGTCTAGTCCCATTGCATTGTCCAATCACATTGCTCGTTACTTGCAGCATCCACCTTCTGACGCTTGACTCGTTTCGCTATTGTTAATCTTCATCCCTTGTTGTCGCGGCTGTGCTGCTCCACCACCCTCGTTTTTCGGTAACTTCTTGGCTGTAAAACATAACATTGTTGTAAGTGTATTTATTGACAATATATTGTTCATATTTTTCAGTTGTTTTTATCAACACTTACTAAGTGCAACTTGTATACGAGCACTTGTCATACTTATATATATTTATAACAGTGGTCTATTTTTTAGTTTAGATGTACACCTGTCCAACAGGGGTCAGAGGTTAATGTATTTATTGTCAAGTAATTATATAGCGAAGCGTAAAGTTATCAGGTGCGCTAATCTGTTAGGTTAGCCTTTGTTAGCCTGTTCCATTATGTGAATGTCTAGGTTAGAATAGGTTAAGATTTATTGTTATCAATTGCTGTTTTTAGGGTCTTCTGACCAGGGAATAAACACTATTGTTTTCGAAGGACCTTTTTAAAAAAAAAAGAACCTTGAAGCCACGACCGGCTACATTGTGGTTCAAGGACTTTAAACTGACCTGGAATGTAGCGTATAGATATGTGTGTAAATGTATGTGCAGTAGTAAGCTGAGCTTCATTGTTAAATGTTGTTTGTATTCACATATAATTTTACCTTACAAATTAAATTTACCACAGAAAGCATGTTCCTGTTTTTTCTCTCTTTTAGATTGCAGAAAATTACAATTCATAATTTAAATCGACTTTTTAGAATAAAATTCAAGCATTTTCTCTGCAGTTTCTTGCAATTTTCAAATTCCAATTTTAAGGGCCTATAATGCTTCCCATTTCAACAATTTATATATAGAGAGAGAGAAAGAGATTACATTTTATATATAGAGAGAGAAAGAGATTACATTTTATATATAGAGAGAGAAA